CGTGTTAATTGTCGTTTAGTTTTCAGCAATATTAAAAAAATCAGTGTTTTCTATAAATGGATAGTAATAATAGCAGCACTAGTGATTTTTCCACTAATGAAAATGAGGAATATTTGTCAGCCCCAAAAATGATAAAGACGGAAACGACGAATTTTTTATGTGTAAATATTTGTTGAATCCAGTTAAAATTAAGAAGGTAAAGTCATTTCAAATAAGCATATCCATCTCTGCATTTTGTGTAATTTACTCTGTCAAATTTCCCTGCCTAGAAAGCAGATTCTCATCTCTGATTTATATGTACAATGGATTTATAAATATACATTTTGACAATGAGATGTTGTCAAATGCATAACTTTAAAAAAAAACAAGTAAAAAAGCTGTAAGTTCGGCCGGGCCGAAGTTGAATGCCCTCCACCATTTGGTACAAATTTGGCCATTTTCAAAAAATTAAAATCCATTAAAAATTCTGTTAAAATCATAAAAATACCGAATGTAGAGGAATTATACATACATTGGGGGCTATACGAAGACGTGGACCTGCACAGACAATTTTCTGTCATAAGTTGTAGTATTCATTCGAACTTCAAATACTAAATTTGAAATAGTTCCGGTAAATAATATCGTTAAAATCATCAAAATACGGCATATCGGGAGGTACCGTTATATGGGGGCTATACGAAGACGTGGACCAGCTTGGCCCATTTTCAATACCAAAAATCAAAAATCAGACAAAATACACATTTGAGTAAATTTTTATCAACTTACTTCATTTCGTTTGGATGCTAGTGTGATTTCCACAGACGAACAGCCGGACGTACCTCGCCGTACGACATAGCATTTTATGCTGATCAAGAATATATATACTTTGTGGGGTCTAAAATGTATATTTCGAGGTGTTACAAACGGAATTACAAACGTAATTTTTTTTCCTAAAAATCACAATGATTGTCAATTACAATAGAAGCACCCACAGCTACCAGCCGCCAAAGCAAGACATGACTTAAAATAAATCTCCAAAACTAGTGGGAAATTAATCGCCAAAGTCAACTATATTTAGTCATATAACGAACACTTTATATTATTTTTTGACTTGGTTCGCTTTAGCTGTGAAACCTTGAAATTTTATTCAGAGTAATAATGAACCAAAGTAATTTTTTTTGTTTTTGAATATTTTTTTAGTAATATATTTAAATTATTTTTATTTTAAATTAATATCATTAGTTAATTTTGAATATAGACTTTTACATTTTCTTTTGGTAGACTACAATATTCCTTCCAGAAATTAATGGCAGTGCATTTACTTTACCTCTAAATATCTTCGAATTATGTTTTTATGACTTAGTTCGGTATAGCTGTGAGCCCTTCATATGTCAACTGAAAAAAATGGAAGGAATAAAATGCAAAATTTAAATTGGCAGAGACAATTTGGAATGGAGGAAAAAAGGGACGAAACTATTCTAAAGGCCATATTAATTATTGACTTAATTTTTTATTGACGCAATTTTCTTTTAATTTGTAAACACTGGAATGCAATTTGAAAGATGTCACTCGTATTGGAATGCGGCTTTTGGAAGTCAAAACAATCGATTTATTTATTTTTTTTTTTCGAAATTTTAATAAAACAGGAAAAAGGTTAACGAAAACATACCATATGCAGCCTACCGCTAGCTGACCTTCCGACGAACTTCTTCCTAAACGTTTGACATTGAATAGACGTTGTTGCACTTTTTTAAGTTTTCGAACTTTTCAATTTCGAAGCACTGAAACGCGATTGTGATTCCAAATTTCTTTTTTTTTTTTCTATTTTTTTCAGTAATTTCTTGACAACAATTTAAAATGAACTGATATATTTGATATTTACACTCACAAAAATTTACACCATCTAACATTGGAGAACATATACAAATAAATGCTGTACTGCCCATATACATTTCTTAGTTGCAGTAAGGCTAAAGGTGAGTGTACATGAAAGACTTTTTTGGCAGGCTTAAGTCATCGGCTGCCTTCTTCACAGAGGAACAAAGAAGTTTAAGTTGACTTAGTTCGATTTTGGCTTTACCCTCCTTTGTTCTTTTCTGGAAAAGCCAGTCGATGCCTAAAGCCAATCAAAAAAGCGTTTTATGTATTCTCACCTTAGTTAGAAGAAGCAATACCCTCCTGGAAGGAACTTGAAAAATTCCCAAGAACTTCTATCGGAAAATACCGCTCAAAGGAAAGCTGTTATTTGGGGGCTATACGAAGACGTGGCCCAGCATATACAATTTTACGTTATAGATTGTAATACCCATTACGAGCTTCAAACACAAAATTTGAAACAATTCGGGCGAAAATGTGCCTAGAATCATCAAAATACCGAATATCAGAAGGTTTCGTTATAGGGAAGCTGCACACGCAATTTTTGGTCAAAAAGGATTAACAAACGAAATGACGAACTTAACTATGTATGGTGGAGGTTATATAGAGGTCATAACAAGGTACAATTACAAGGTATATGTATTACAAGCGTACAAAGGCATTTTGGTGAGCATTTTCCAGAAAAAAAAAGTTATTCGTGATGGAATTATAGGGTGATAGCGTGATTTCTTTATATTTGGCTGGAAAACCACAAGTCGCTGTCGTTAGAACACTTCAGCATTTTAATGTGAATAAATCGTTTGTGTCTAGTAGCAGCGTAGCTCGACGTCAAGGAAGTGGACGGAAGAAATCAAAAACATCAGCAGAAATGGTTCGAAAAGTAAAGAAGCGACTTGATCGAAACCCGCATAGCAGTGGCCGAAAATGGCTCATGAGCTGAACATATCGTAATATTCCATTCGGCAAATACTGAAAAATGAGTCGGGGTTAAGCCATTGAAATTCCAAAACGTAGATGAACTTACACCGCAACAGAAAGAAAATAGACTCAAACCACTTAAGAAAGTCTTAAAGTCGGGTGGGGCCGACTTTATGATACCCTACAGCACGTTGCTAATTTAGTAGAGCTCCGCATTAAAATTAAAAGTTTTTATGGGAGAATTCAATCATACACGCTATAATTATAATTATAATTTAAAGTTCAAAGGACTAAATATGCCTAAGCATTTGTATATTTTAAATTCGGACTTGTATTGCCCATGTGGTGCACAATTGATTTGAAATCGGGTAAAGATATATACGGAAGCTCTATTCAAATCGGAACCGATCTCGATAAAATTTGGCAAAGATATTTCTGAACTGTATTTGATATATTTCCCTGAATATCGTTGTTACGGAGTGCATATTACGGCTGTGGGCAACAAATATAACAAATCGGATTAACAGTATATATGGGAGCTATACCTATATCTGAACCGATCTTCACCAAATTGTACATACTAGCTTCTAGACTCAATACGGTCGTAAGTGTCAAATTCCATCCCATTTGAACAAATATTAGACGTTTGGTGCACAATAACGGGTCAATCGGACGAAGTTATATGTGGGAGCTAAATCTAAATTTTTACCGATTATCTTCAATTTCAATAGGGTTCGTCCTTGGGCCAAACAAATGATTTCTGCAAAATTTCATCTGGATAGGGCAATAATAACTGTACTTTGTTTACAAAAATACATGGACAGACAGACAGATGGACGGACATGCATAAATCGACTCAAAATGTGATTCTATGCAGATCATCAAAAGGAACTATGGGTCTATCTTGTTTCCTTTTGCCTTTTACAAACAAATGCACAAAGACATAATACCCTGAACTTGTGTTGTAGGGTATAAAGAGCTAAAGGGTTGCTTTGCTTGGCCGAAAGCGGTTTACTGCCGAATTTTGTTTTCTCCGATGAGAAAACATTCGTTGTCCATCAGTTTGTAAACAAACAAAATGATCGTGTTTAATTGCCATAGAGGTCAGCTGAATTCGTGCACCTTCGGTTGGCCACCAGATCTCAAACGCCGGCCATGGTGATGGTGTGGGCCATAACGCCATAACAGCCGATGGTGGCTCTCCGCTCGTATTAATCGACCGTGGCATCAGAATATATACCGAATATTATCGCGAAAATATTCTGGAGGGTGTATTAAAGTCTTGGGCCGCAGACCTTTAACATTCCAACACGACTCAACAGCATCGGACTCAGCACGCCACTCAAGAATGATTACAAAATGAGGTTCCTCGCTTCATTTCCAGCGCGCAATTGCCACCAAAATCTCCGGATACCAATCCTATGGTCTATTGTGTCTGGAGTATTTTGTAAAGCAAGGCTGGCACTAAAAATACCAAAGTGTCGATCACCTAAAGTAAGTGCTTCAACGGGAATGGGTCAAAATACCGCAGAGCAACATTCGGGCAGCGTGTGACGGTTTCATTGGTCGTTTGAAGGCCATAATTCGGCCCAAAGGTGACCAATTCGAACATATCTAACTTTTTCTGAAATTTGATGCTATTTCCGACTTTTTTGCTACCATTCAATAAAATTAAAAAAAAAAACTGTATAAATTATGGCGTTTGACTTTGTTGCAGGTTCTTTTATCTCACCCTGTATATCTCTCAACCAAAAATCTGTAGCGAATATGGCGAATATTATTTTCCTCCGTCGACTCGACTCCAAAAAGTAGTAAAATTGCAGTAATATATATTTTTATATTATTTAATTTCAATTCTCCCATGCATAACTAATGTGAATTTAACACAGAAGTAAATCTGCTGAACTATAAGATCAATATTTCTTGGTACAAGGCATTCTTGACTACCCAAAACAAGTAAGCAATGGCTTAAGTCAGGCGGTATGGACCATGTCATACCTCATACCATTTTGGAATGAAGTATTTGATAGGGGTTCCCCTGCGTCTATCACAGAAATCATAACTTTTGTATTAATTAATAGTTTGGAATTACAAAATTACGACATTAGAGTTGAACCACAAAAGTCTCCCCAGGATAAAAAAGGTAATAACTATACAAAAAAAAATTGTTTGAAGGCAAGTTTTTTTTATCTTCTAAATAGACGTAAATTGGAAATATCATAGTGAAATATTCTCAATTCAGGCCAAAAATTTATTTATATTTTCTCCATGCTCAGTTAATCATCTCTCTTACATTCAAATGATTCCAATTTTTCCTTCACAATATCTTCAATATTCTTCAAATGCATCAGATAATTGGCTGCGAAACTTTTGGCATCGGAAGGCTGGTATATATGGATCATGGCTAATAATTTTCTTAAAACACTTCCCATTGTAGATTTTATGGTTTGTTCCAATGCCAAGACCTCTTCAAAAGATTTGGCTGTAGACAAACACACACACTCACACAAATAATTACTATGACCATATGGGCCATTCTCACCACAATTTACCTTTTGTGTCTCCAATATTCAATTCCTTCAAATTGCAATGGGGTTTTGGCACATAAATATCAGACTCCGATAATAGGTGCAAAAATGGCCTCAATACCCTTTCACATCTCTCAATGTGTGTGGTGTCCTGCACAAATTGTTTATTCAATTCCTGCATCTCATTTTCAAAGGCATCTCTTGTTTTCTTGTCTGGGGCTTCCAGAATCCGCTTCTTTAGATCATCAATCGCATATAGGTGGTATCGTTGATGGTGAATTTTGATTTTTTGCATTTCTTGAAAACATTTTTTTGCTGCAACAAAAATATCCCAACGTTCGTTAGACAAAGCATTCATGCGTTTATTAAACGCTTCTTTCATTTTGTCCACATCCTGGATACTCGTTGCAAAATCTTTTTGATGCTGCAGCATTTTGGGGGAACATCCCAATTTCAGTTTAGTCGAACATGGGAAAATGATTTGATCCAATTCTTTTTTGTGTTTCTCTTGTGCCTTTTTAATCTCAACGCCAATCCGTTGATAGTCGTTGTCATAACAAATCAATGCACTCAGCAGCTGCTGAATTTGACATCTGAGGGCGTAATTGGCCATATTCTTTTAAATTTTATTGGAATAGGTTTTTGAAGAAAATATATGGAAATTGTTATATTCTCTGATTTTTATTTCTAAACTTCAAATGAAAAATGTTTTTTTTTTTTTTTGTATTTAGATTGAGAAGAGTTGACTGAAAAAAAAATAAATTTTACTCTTCTAAGTAAATTTCTACAAGGACTTTGCCCAGTCAATGCCCAATTATGTGGGTATATATTGACGTATATACAGTAGATAAATCTATATTAATAAAGAAGTAAATTAATTGACTGACTGACTGACTGACTGACAGAATTCATCAACACCCAGGTAGAACGGCTAAAGCTAGAATCTGGAAATTTTGGGCGAGGGTCACACTTGGTCCAAAGGTGTCAGGTGGGTCTTAAAAATTCGTATCAGAACGTACTAGTATGAAAAATATAAAAAGTTGGGAGGTGGGGGGGCAGTAGGGCTAGAAATCTTGAATTTAAAATGAGGGTTAATGATGGAGTGTACAATAGACGCACCCAAGGGTTTTTGGAAATACGAACTATAAGTGTACGAAAAGAACCAAAATGTACCACATTTGGTACCATTTCGTGTCATGTGAACGGTTAGAGCTAAAAACTTTAAGTTTGGAATGGGAATAAAAGTTTAGAAGTAGAGTCGATGTAAGAAAGTAATTTTGGAAATGTGTGCTCATGTATACCAAAAGTACTAAACGGTACTCAATTTAGTACAATTGGAATATGGAGAAATGGATTTAGCTGGAGTTCTGAAATTTGAAATTAACATTACTGGCGGATTGTAGGATTAGGAAAATGGAACAAGTTTTCGAAATTTGTATTTATGTGTACGAAAAGTACTAAATGGTACTAAATTTGGTATAATTTCGATTTGGGAGAACCAATAGAGTTGGAATCCTGAAATTCGGAAATAAAATTACTATTGCATTATAGTTTTGGAAATTACTACTTATGTGTACTAAATAGTACTTAATTTGGTACAATTTAAATTTTGGATGAACCGGCAGTTTTGGAACCCGGAAATTTAAAAATAAGATTGGACAGTATGGTGTAGGTCGTTATGAAATTTTTTTCTTAAGTTTATTAAATGGTACTAACTTTGGTACACTTTGGATATGGGCGAGCCAATGGAGCTAGTATTCTGAAAATTGGAAATAAAATTACTGTCGGAGTGTAGGATTGGGATATGTATGTAGTTTTAAAGTAGTTTTATGTAATAAATAAAGTCAAATTGGTATTTGGGCGAACCAGCAGGGATGCAATCCTAAAATTTGGAATTGTTATTATTGTGGGAGTGTAGGATTAGAATATGTAGGAAACCTTCGAAATTCATACTTATGTGTACTTATGATACTAAATTTTGTACAAATTGAAATTATGATGAACCGATCGAGTTGGAATTCTGAAATTTGAAGTGAGTGTCACTGATGTCACCAAACGGCTATCGGAAATTCCAACTTTAAATATTGTAAATGTTCTAGAATTTTACTAAACTTCTAAAATGGTACCATTTGCTACTATGTGTACGTATAAAGCTTAAAACTTTAAATTTGGTATCAGAATCAGGGTTGGAAGGTAAGTCAGATATGTGAAGGTGATTTTGGAAATGTGTACTAAGTATGCCAACTTTTTTGATATTTTGTTTTGGGGTCCATGTTAGTAGTAGGTTTGTGATAACGAGGTGATTTTTGGAATGTGTGTACTACAAGTGCACAAAAAGTACTAAATAGTACAATAATTGGTACAATTTGTTATTGGGTGAATAGATAGTACTTGAAATTTGAAATTTGGTATTACGGTTGCTGTTCATGTATAGCCTGGACATATGGAGGTCGTTTCGGAAATGTGTACTATAATTGTACGAAAAGTACTGAACAGGTGGGAAGTGGTTTTGGTACTAAATAGTACTAAATTGGGTAATGGGAAAAAGCTAGAATCCCGAAATTTGATATTGAAGTTATTGTTGGTGTATGTGTTTAGGAGAAAAGAGGATATACGTACTATAAGTTACTAAATGATACTAAATTTGGTAACTGGAAAAATAAGGAGCTGAAATCCTACTAAACTAAATGGTACTAAATTGGATATAGGGTGAAGAGATAGAGCTGGAATCCCGAAATTTGATATAGATGTCACTGTTGGTGTCTTAGGCTAAGATATGTATAGATTTTGATATAAATGTCACTGTTGGTGTCTGAGGTTAAGATATGGAAGTGTTTTTGGAAGTATGTGCTATAGTTGTCCAAAAAGTACGAAGTGCTACTAAATTGGGCATGAGGTGAAATTATAGGGCTGGAACCATAAAATATGATATTAGGGTCTCTGTTGGTATCTGAAAATGAGATATGAAGGTGGTTTCGGAAACGTGTACTATATTTGTACGAAAAATACGATCTGGGATCCCGAAAAATGATATAGATGTCACTGTTGGTGTCTAAGGTTATTATATGGAGGTCGTTTTGGAAACATGTATTATAATTGTACGAAGAGATCTAAATAGTACTAGATTTGGCCTTGGGTGCAGGAATATAGCTGGAATCCTGCAGTTTGATATTAAGGTCCCTGTTGGTATCAGGAAATGAAATATGACGGTAGTTTTGGATATGTGTCTTATAATTGTACGAAAAGTAGAGCTGGAATCTTGAAATTTGATATAGATATCGCTGATGGTGTCTGGACATGCGTCCTATCATTGTACCAATTCCTACTAAATTTGGTTTTAGTTAAATGGATGAAGATAAAATCTGAACATTTATTCTGCGGTAACTTGTGGTGACTAGAATTGAGATATAGAACGATTTTGTGTACAATAGTTTATCGGAAAGTACCAAATGGTACTAATTTCTGATCATTGTTTTGTTGTGACTAGGATGGAGAGAGGTAGATTGTTTTGGCTATGCGTACTAAATGTTACTAAATTTTATTTTGAATAAAGGAACAGAGCTGAAGTTCTGAAATTTGATATTGAGGTCACTGTTGGTTTCTAGGATTTTCATATGGAGACGTTGAAATAATTTTGAGCAGTTGAAATTGGATGTGGTTCCATCGTGCAATGGTTTCCCACGTTAAACTTCAAAATGAAAGTTTGCAGACTTTTTGTTATTAAAGGTAAACATACTTCTACTATTCTTTCCGAAAAAGGAAAATATATAAAACCTTGCAAATCTGAAAATTTAATGCGTTTTGATTTTAAAAAAAATGTCAAACTGAACAAATTGTGCATTTTTAGTTGAAAAAGGGCCTAACATGAACTCTTGGAACGAACCAAAAATTGTAAGGTGGACTTTTCGCTGATGAAGTAGCGGACACTTGCTAGTATTTTTAATAAAACTCTAAGACTTCTTGCCAAGAAACAGATATCTAGTCAAGATCACATAAGTTTTTGAAATTTGCTAGTTTTGGTCAGGAGTTTGACAATTTTTTCAAGAAACCGGCGCGATTTCCAAGATTTTGGAAGGAAATCCTGAATTTTTTTTTTTATAAAAAAGTTCTTGAAAAAATATTCGTCAAAAAATCTCTTTATTTGGTAAACGTTCAACAAATTAGAAGAGATTTCCAATACCAACCAAACGGCCACCATGAGCTCGCTTTCATATCCTTGTCATGAAATTTAGCTTTTTGACCTTTTTTCTCTATTTTTGTATAACTTTGATATTGTGGTCGTATATAAATATTCATTACCTTCAACTGACATTTTCGAACTTGTTTAAAATGTCCTCAATAGGCAAAGGTAACAAAGTTCAACGGTTTTTGTTTTGATACTGCTTTTTTAAATCTGGAACAAATTTCAAATTAACGATTTTTCTATTAATTTTCATATAAAACTGCACGTTCTTATCGGTGGGCGGTTAGAGTTCACCACAACCATTTACTCTTCAATTTTAGGAAAAAGAAAGTGCGATGAAGATTATTTTCGGACATTTCCTGTTTTTTTTGTGGTTGCCATTGTATAGGCATAGTTTAAAACAAAATTCTAACAAAATTCAAAACAAATTCTATGAAACAATAACAAAAACAATGTCTTGAAAAAAATAAAAACAAAATTGTTAAAAAGTTTTTAATGAAAATCCGTGTAAAATGCCAACAGTTTTCTTATCGTGTATGAGTTTATAATAATAGAATTTTTTTATTATACAAATCCAAACTTTATGGTTTTTCGCCCAGCCGATGAAGTCCAACCACAACGTCAGGCTATGTTTTCAATGGTATCCTTGAAAATATATGGCATGCAACTTTACAGGAACAATCGTAATAACAGCGACGACCAAAATAAAATCACACAATAAAACCGAAACAACAGGAAATTGCACTTCAAAGACAATAAACATAATAAGTACACAGGCAACAACAAAAAAGCGACAACATCAGCAGCATAAATGGTGACCGCACCGCATTGGACGGAACCAACAACGCTACCCAAATGGCACTGGAAAATGAGAAACAAACGCATTGGGATAGTTAAGTAATAATACGTTTTATTTCGTTGTCCTTTCGTTTCTATGCTGCTTTCATTTTCAGTTGCCCTTTTTGTGTCCTTTGATTTTTGGCTTTTCCTTTCTCCCTCCTTCTCTCACTTAATTTAATCTACGATTATTTCCTGCAAACAAGTGATTTCCCTCTAAACAACAATAATCATAAAAGCTTTTGAAATGACTCGGAATAAACCTTCATAATTCGATACACATGAACATGTCGGCAGCAATCGTAAATTTAACAGGTTGGATCAATTTTTTCGTATTTGGTAAAGCGTATAATCTCCTCGATTTCTACGAAATATTTAATTCCTTCTTTGAAATGTTGTCAATTTGTACCGAAAGGAGAGGACCGAAATATTCCACCTTGCTCCAGATTAACAGAAATATTTGAATATGAAAAGCAAAGTCGAAATTTGCAATCAATCTGCCATGTCAGTACGTCCGGCCTTTTGTCTGGTTGGTACGCATAATAACTCATGAATATGCTCCTGTTTTTTCGCTTGTTAATTAATGTCCGCACCATATTTTGATAACTACCCACGAAAATTTCGAACCTATATAAGCCAAATAACCTCTTACAAAGTAATCTAAAGAAAAAGATTAACTACTTAT